AGAGCTGTTTTTTTGTATTACAGAATTATTTTAGTATTTATAGTCAGTCTAACGACACTGATAGAATCCTTGACACTGATCATTTTAATTTCAAAGTAGTTTATTGTATTGTACAAAGAAATAAGTTGGTAAAATAATTGGAACCCAAAGCAGGAAACTATTATTCAATTTTTAGTGACAAATGATTGCTTCAAAATATTATGAAAAAAACTCCAAAAAGCTGAAAAAATATAATCGAGTTAATATAAAACAATCAAAAAACACCACACATACAAAAATATATTAAAAAAAACTATTATTTATTTTCAAACTTCAAGAAACTTTCATATATTTCAACAATATAATAATAAAAATTATTTTAATTAGTAAAATAAATAAAAAAAACAAATAAAATATAATATTCTATTAATAATAAATTCAATAAACACTTATTTACCGAATTTTATATCTACTTAGTTAATTAACTTTAATCTTAATTTTTTTGAACCGGTACCTTTTGATCTTATCTCTCTAAATTAAATTTCTATATTAGCAGTTAAGTGGCATATAATTTTATTATATACCTCTACTGCAAGAAATTTGTTTTCTATTTGTATAATTTGGCTTGCCTGAAAAAAAGCCTTTTACCATCCTTTTACCATCGATAGTTGCGCCTCGGTGGTACGAAAGTACTACCATTGCACGCAGGCCGCTATCACCCGTTCGGGATTTAATATCTAACCGATACTTTCCGACAAGTCGGAATTAACTATCTCTGCGCTGTGGTTGTCATTTTGTGGATCTCCCAAGCTCACCTGATGATGGAGTAGGGCTCCGAAAACGGTAGTGAGAGCAGGTTGATCCGCATTATGACAAACACAGCGTAGAATTAAATTTCTATATTAGCAGTTAAGTGGCAAGAATCCTTATATAATTTTATTATATACCTCTACTCAAGAAATTTGTTTTCTATTTTTATAATTTGGCTTGCCTGAAAAAAAGCCTTTTACCATCCTTTTACTATCGATAGTTGCGCCTCGGTGGTACGAAAGTACTACCATTGCACGCAGGCCGCTATCTCCCGTTCGGGACTTAATATCTAACCGATACTTTCCGACAAGTCGGGATTAACTATCTCTGCGCTGTGGTTGTCATTTTGTGGATCTCCCAAGCTCACCTGATGATGGAGTAGGGCTCCGAAACCGGTAGTGAGAGAAGGTTGATCCGCATTATGACAAACACAGCGTAGAATTAAATTTCTATATTAGCAGTTAAGTGGCAAGAATCCTTATATAATTTTATTATTAACTATAAATTGAGCTCTGTGTCTACACTTCATTTTCCCTCAAGCTTTCCCCCACTTAACTTTAAAAAACTCAAAACACACGTAATAACACGAACCAAAATGCGAAAAAATTGGCAAATGTTTATCAATTTATAGAACTGAAGTTATTTAACATAATTTTACACAAATTATAGCCTATAAGTTGGCAAGAGTTTGACAAGTCCTAAAAGTTTTAAGTCTTAGTATAAACAGAGGTATAAATAATATTTGGCTCAAAAAGCTCCACTAGCCGTAAAAGGAAAGCAAAAATTGCAGCTCAAAAAATTCCAAACTAATGGAAAAAGCACCGGCAATGAGAAAGTTGCGTTCACCAACGACTTTAATCAAATATCAGCCACTATTCACTTAACGAACTTTTCTTTCCCGATCATTAAGTAACAATCTCACCTTTTATCGGAGTCGAAGAAAACGTGACTCTCTTTTTACATTCCTTTTTGATTTTCTTCAACTTTTCGTTTAAAGAAAATGTGTTCTCCTCTTTTATTGATCCGGAAAATGAACTTGATGAAATCTAATATTCTAATTTTTTATTCAATATGTTACAGATTTAATGGGTTATGTGTAAAAAAGATCAAAAACAGAGAATATAAAAAATATAATGTCTCGCAACCCAAATCTTCCACCACAAAAAGTTGTGAGGTTTCATATAAAACCCAGCCAATAAATTGTTAGTATTAATATTAGACATCTCTTTAATTTTGTTATAATAATAACTTGACAATTGAACGGTATGATATTCTACTAATAAAAATATCGTATGGTCGAAAAAACGGCGTCTAGTTGGCTCGGAAATAACGATCAGTGACAGTTTTCATTTTTTCGATCATATGGTACTTTACTATTAAGAGAATTGCTTAGATTTACTTAGTAATCGAAATGGTAGATTATTCTTTTATAATTATACTTTTAGTTTTTTTAGTTTTGGTGTTTGTGTACAGTTATTTTTAGCTCTGTAATTGTTTATTTATTTATCCTTTTTTGATAATTATATAATATAAAAGAGTAATCTACCATTTTGATAACTAAGTAAGTACTCATCTGTGTCTAGCATCTTTAGTTTCATAAAAAAGTAGCATAGTGATGTGAAAGCCGCATCTTTGTGAACGAGAAACTCTGCAAAATACACAGAAATGGGATACCCTGTACACTCTCGCATTTTTAATAAACAAATATCGTCTGCTGCAAACTGTCACACAGCCAACTTAATGAGATATAGTACAATTTTCATTCATTAACATAAGGTACCTAAATTGCGTACATTATCCCTACCTTGCACCTGAGGCCCTTTATTTAAAATTCATTCCTGACAAAATAAATATTTAACATTTTATATAACAACTTCTTGTTAGGAAGCACTTCAGAAAAATTATCGCGGATGTTATATTGTATTTTAAAAAATTAAACTATTTATATTTTGTAAAACAGATTAATATACCAGAAACATATAAATTAAAAAAGACTAATTATAAAGAGTACCTGAACACTATACTGGGCGAGTCTTAAATAAGTGCAGATATGTTCAGGGCTGGTAGATCTCAATAAAAGAAACATATTTTCTCTTTATCGTTTTTCAATTAAGTCCAAAATAACCGGGTTATTCAAGTTTGAAATTTTAAAAAAATATTGATTTATTTAAAAAAAAATGAGAGCCACCGGATTTTTTCTGTATTTGCATCCCTTTCAATGCCGTAACTATAGTAATATCAGAGATTAACAAATTATACCAGGGGGCCTGATTCTGTAAACATATTTCCTGTCTAGTGACTCATCAATCATATACAAATAGCATAGGCTAGACAGGAAATTTCTTGCTACGGAGCTTACAAAATCCTACTGCAGGGTTTCCCATTTGCGGTGAAAACGCAGTTCTAAAGAGTTTTCTAAAATATACAGGAAAATTTAAAAGAGAATGCCCGATTTTTAATATTTTTTGCAAAAAAACACTTCTTCTCTTTACCGCTTTCAAATAAGTCCAAAATAATCGAGTTATTCAAGTTTAAAAATTTAATAAAATGTATTTATTTTTAAACAATTTTCAGAGACACCCTGATTGTTATTTATATATTATTTATATACCTTAAAAGGTTGTTACTAAAGTGCTAAGTGTAGACTAAAGCCGTAACCATGGTAATATTAGAGATTAAGAGAAACTATACCTTGGAAAAATTTGCGGTGAACAGGCTCTTATAAAATATACAGGAAACTTAAAAAAATGCACGATTTTCAACATCTTTTTTTGCGAAAATAGACTTTTTTGCGAACATAGACGTGTTTCTGGGGTCGAAATATACTACCCCTAAAAATACTTGCACTTTTTTATGACTGTATTTTGTAGACCCTTTATATTTACTGAATAATTATAAAATAAAAATAAAATTTGGTTATTTTATACTGTTTATTTCCAATAATTTTTTGTGTTATTTGTGCATAATTCTCTAAGTTATGATTCACATTATATTATATTAGTGTGAAATACTCTCTATACACTATTTCAGTAAACTAGATAACTTAATTTTGTAAAAGAAGGTATCAATGGATGTCCGTTCTTGCTAAGAACTTATTGATTTCTTATATTGTTATATTTTTATTGAGCTTAATAGCATATTGCAATATTGTTATAGCTGTTTTATATAATATTATGTTAAAATTTTAAAGAACATGATAGAATTCATAAAAGTGTCACAAATTTGAAGTGTAAAAGCCAAAAATAATAATTATGACATTTAATTTTACGCATATTAATACACAACAGAAAGATGTGGGTGCTTGGTACCTATTTCATATCATTTGTAAAAATTAGAAGCAAAAAGAAATATTAGGAGACGTATGATTTATTAATGTACTTACTCTCTTTAATGCATAAACATTAGTTTTATGTTTCTATTTCAAAGAGAATCCTTCCAGTGCTGGAAATATTTTGTATTGTATTATATTTAAAAACTTGTTTTACTTTCATATTAATATTTTATTAAAATTTTGTTATGTTACAAATTCATATGTTTGAAATTTTTAAACTGAAATGTAAAAAACAAAATTATATTAGTTTATTCTTGAACGACCTTATTATGTTAGTTTTATTTTGGTACTTATCAAAACCCATAATCGATGTAAATATAAAATATAAATAAAATTTAAATTTTATAATTATTTATAAAAATTTAAATAGTTATATTTTATTTAAAAGGTTATCTTTTTTTCCAATTCCTTCCAGGAAATTTAAAAAAAATGCAATTTGAAATGTTATTTGTGCATAATTTTTTAAGTTATGAGACACTTTATATTATATTAGTGTGAAATACTCTCTATACATTATTTAAGTAAACTAGATAACTTAATTTTGTAAAAGAAGGTATCAATGAATGTCCTTTCTTGCCTCTCTGTCTCCTTTATTCTTTAAGAAATAATTTTGACATTCTGAATGCTTAAATTGAAATTAGAGGAACAAACTTCTAGGCTAATTGAAACCACTAATTTATTCTACTAATTTTGAGGTTCCGAATGAAGCTTTATTTCCATAAATTTATAATCTGATATAATTAATTTAAATAAAACTAAATTATTGTTAATTATATAAATTACTGTTTTCATATTTTATTAAAATCAATTCTAATATACTTAAATTTATTCTAAATTATCAAACATTCAGAAACTTATTTTATTTTAATTATTTTTTCAGTTCTCATTTCCAACAACCTGACCGTTGGCGATTTAGAAAAATACTATCTCCTTCCAGAAAGTCCGATATCGACAACTTCTCCAAACACAAGCGGCGAAACAACGCACGCTAGGAAAGAGGTGACTCCAGCAACAAGTCCTACGAACATCGGCCAAGCGTACATTGGCTTGATTACTGGTGTAATGGCTATGGTTATATTACTGGTCGTGTGCACAGTATTCCTAATGGTTCGAAGGGGAAAGAAGAAGGTAATGTTTGTCATAAAAATTTAACTAGAGGCTCCTAATATTCCGTGGATATGTAGATGTAGATTATATAGGAAGGGGGAAGTTTATCACCGCGACTTTATTGAAATCTATTGAACACCTTCATTGAGTTATAACTCTTCATACAGTCTTCGAGCTTCTACGAAAGCCAGTATCTGAGACAAGCTATCTGCTTTTACAGAGAGTAGTTCTCCATCTCTCATATCAGCCCTACCAAAGTTTATGGTTCAAATGGTTGTTAGAACGTCTCGACGCACTCAGTAATGAGGTGTTCTGGTTTTTCCCATTTTCCCTACATAATCTGCATAAGCCGTTGTTTCGGTTCAATCTACTGAAGTGTTCACTAAGGAGATAGTGTTCTGTTAAAAACCTCGTGGACAATTTGAAGATTGTTCTTACTTAAATCAAGAGAAATCTTTGATTTTTTTCGATCGTTAGTCCTGAGAAACTTCTTCGAGTGTCTTAGACCGTTGCAGGATTCCCATTTCAGGTTACGGATGGAGTCTTCCAGCATCTTGAGTTCCGCTTTAAGTTGGTTTCCACTTGGGAAGCAGAACGGTTCTGAATTAAGCATATTCATAAATTATATTATATTATATATCCGGTATTATAGCGTTCTACGCCTTCCGGTTCCCAGGTTACGGATGGAGTCTTCCAGCATCTTGAGTTCCGCTTTAAGTTGGTTTCCACTTGGGAAGCAGAACGGTTCTGAATTAAGCATATTCATAAATTATATTATATTATATATCCGGTATTATAGCGTTCTACGCCTTCCGGTTCCCAGTCTCCATTGCCTTCGATCTTCCCAATCTCCTGGAAGTAAATTTCTTTCGGACATGGCTCGGTTAATGCCCTCAATCCAGGTAGCTTTAGGTCTTCCTTTCTTTCTTCTTTCCGCCGGTGTCCATTTTAGGATTTGTTTTGGCAGACGTTCGTCAGCCATTCTCTCTCCATGTCCATACCATATTAGTTGGCGTTGTTCGATTTCATCGAGGATAGTTTTCTTTACGCCCATAATTTCTCTAATTCTCTCGTTGGCAATTCGTTCTATTCTTGACTTTCCGGCAGATCTTCGCCAAAAATCCATTTTAAGAGCCAGAAGTTTACGCTCTAAAGTTTTATTTATTTGCCAGGTTTCACATCCATATAATACAACACTTTTAAATATTGCATTGTATAAAACGTGCTTTCTTTCGATAGAGATATTTGTTGACCATAATAGTGAGTTTAGGCATCCTAGAACTCTTTTCCCTATTATTCGCTCCAATATTTCTTCTTCAATTCGTCCACTTTGGCTAATCTTTGTTCCGAGGTAGGTATAATCTGAACAATATTGTACTATGCAGCTGTCGTCCACTTCCAAATCTGTTCCCTCTCCACCGATACACATATATTTAGTTTTACTGCAGTTAACAGTTAATCCCCACTCTGCGTATTCTTTAAAAAGTTTCCTCGCCATGAATTCAAGGTCTTCCCTATCTTGGGCCACTGCAACTTGGTCATCTGCAAAATGAAGAGTATATAAGTAGGTGTCATTTTTTACTCCTATTCCCATTCCAGTGCAGGATCTTCTCCATTTCTTTAAGGCTTCATTGAGGTAGATTTTGAAGAGATTTGGCGATAGACAACATTCCTGAGGAAGGCCTTTGGTCACATAAAAGGTTTCTGATATGTTACTGCCGATCTTTATTCTGGAAAATGCTTGGTGGTATAGCTGCTTGATGGCTTTGATCGCTGTATTGTTAATTGGAGAGTTCTCCAGCACTTGCCACAGTTTTTGGATTGGCACTGTATCATATGCTTTTGAAAGGTCAACAAAAAGCAGATGAGCCTCTCTATTCCTTGCTACCTTCTTTTCATTAAGTTGGGTTAGACTAAATATATGATCTATACACGATCGACCAGCTTAAAACCCTGCTTGCTCTTCAATTTCTTGTGGACCATATTCTGTTTCTACGATGTTTCTAAGCAGTTTTCCGTATACTCTGCTCATTGTGCTGGTTACGGATATACATCTATAGTTTGAGCATTCGTCACGTCTTCCTTTTTTGTTAATTGGTGTTATCCAGCCTTCTTTCCATATAGTTGGTACAGGATCCCCATTATTTAGGAGTCTGTTAAATAGTTTTCGAAGAAAGAAATTTAGTTTTTCAGTACCGTTCTTTAACAGTTCCGCAGGTATTCCTTCCGGTCCAGCTGCTCTCCTATTTTTTATTGAACCAACAGCTTTCCATATCATCTCACTTGTAACGTCGATATAGTGGCCTTGTACGTTGTATCGCCTTGGTGAGCTGACGAGGTACTCTTGTCGATCTTCGGTAAGCTGCGTTTTGTAATGAGATCTCCACTTTTCGATTGGGATTGGTTGTAAGTTGCTCTTGTTTGTGGTGTCTGATCTTAGTGATTTTATTAATTTCCATGCTTCTGATGATCTAGATCTGATATTCATAAATTCAAATAGAAATATTTTAATAAACTTTGACGACTATTTTTTTATAAAATGGTCGTTCAAGTATTTACTACATTTTTGTCTCTTGTAAAATATCGCATGGTTGCTCAGAAAACCATAATTACTCTAATATAATATCTCTTGTTTTATAAATTTACAGGTGGCACTTCTGCACAAACATACAGCCTTAGTATCTAGTAGTACGAAACCAACGACCATTAACATGGAAGATCTGAAACATATGTCGACTCCAGTCATTAACAACGGACTGTCAAGATCAAGAATTTCGGTAAAAAGTAAAAATGGTACAATTGGGCCGGATAACACAGTCAAAAAACAGAAAAAGTGTAATTTATATGGTAAGTCTTTTTCAATAATCTCATATAAAATTACACAGATTTAGGCAATGATATAGGATGATGATTTACTTGCCTTCGTAATCTTTTTTCTTAGGCTTGATTTTTAATGATTTAATAAATAGTAATTGTATTACTTTTAATCATATATCTATATCTATATAAGATAAGGATAAAAGGCAAGTCATAAAGCTTAAAAAATTGAATATAAGTTTGCGTTTTTATTTATATGCATCTTCTTTATATAAACCGATGATATACAGGGTGTCCCAGGTTGAGCTTGCATTAGAATCATCAAACACTCTATACCTAACATTAACCGTTTTTGAGAAAAAAAAATATTTAAAATTTTTGGAGGAAAAAAACTGCTTGTCAAAAAAAATTTATTGCCTAACCGTCAAATTTAGTGATTACTACAGCTACTGTGACATAAAAAAGAAGGCATGTAGCTATCTATTTCAAAAATTAAATTGTTCGAATGTCATATTATTGGCCGTAGCTGTCAATCAATTGAGCGATTAAAAAATTGTCAGAAAACCACTTTTTTATTTCACTTATGAAAAGGTTTTTTAAATCGTTACTCTTTGACTATACATGTTCCTATATAAAGATGCTTTATTTATCGATATGTAATAATGTTGGGCATATCTGTTTATTAGAATCGTAAAGTGATTTTTGTTGATTAGTTATATATTTTTTTATGGCTTACAGGACACGTTAACGGAGAAGAATCTGACAGTGAAAATTCATCAGTATATCATGAGCCTTATAAACTACTGCCCAACGGTAAACAAGAATATGGATGCCTGCTAAAGAAAGATCCGATATCATCTAGTAAAAGTGGTGAATACACTGGTAAATACACTCTATTTAAATAGTATTTTTTGTATAAGTATCTCTGTACATTTATGTTTTAATTTGTGTATATTTTTTGTATAAACTTATATTTTAGTATTATTTATTATTTTGTTAAGTTGTTATTTTATAATAATTTAATTTAGTTCAAATGTAGTGTTTTAATAATATGTTATTTTTATTATGCATGTATATTTTATAACAATTAAAACATTTAATTATAGCGACTATTATTTCAGAGTCAATAGTAATTTGTGTACCTTCCCAAATTTTGCAAAATTACTAATCAATGAGAGACAAACACAAAATTAATTAAGTGCATAATTAGAATCGATTTGAATATATTTATTTAAAAATTGCGATATTCTACCACTGACAAAATAAAATAATGATAGTAAATTCTCATTGTTTATTATTCAGTATCATGTGAATAATTGCAAAAAAATATTATGTTAAACAAAATCAATATTTTGTTTATATGATGAAAATCCGGCACGGCAAAATACTATGGAAAAATCCGGTTCTTTCAACGGGGAGAAAATCATTAGGTATTAGGGGGCTTTGATAAAAAATTACAATGGTAAATGGTTAATTACTATAAAATATGTTTCTTATTCAAAAGCGAATAATCCAAAAACAATAAAGCTATTGAGATGAACTAAAAAACAAACTAAACTCGTTAAAAGTTGGACGTACATGATAAAATTAATTTTAAATTACTTGCTTTGTTAACAAATTCTACAACGTGTTTCAAATTTTCACCAAAATATCAGCATTTTAATTTTCCTCGTATAAAAAACATTTTCATTTTTAATTAAGAAAGAGAAAAAAATTATCCAAATCGGTCTGCTAAAACACAGTAATATATAAAACTTTAAAATACATTAAAATTTGCGACATTTTGCGAAAAACTCCTTAAGTACCGTTTTCACAAAATAAACTAAAGTCATAATTGTGCTTGCTTCATCCACGTTACCGTAGATTTAATAGAAGATTATTTTCTTTTATCTATGCCGTAGATGGAGCTAAGAAGGCTTAGGTAGGGTATATATAATAAATCATAATAAATAAACAAAAATACGAGTAGCGGAAAAAGGGGCCAAAAAAACCCTACATATATGCTTATTCTCCGCATTAAGTTTATCAGATTGTCCAATAGCCGCTGGTTTTAATTTTGGCGGTACGATCTGTGATTGTCACAGCTATCGCTAGATGGCGTAGAGCGTCTAGCACTCTCGCCATAGTAGTACTTATTGTACTCAAATGCTATTCTCTGCTTTTCGTTGGTCAGATCGAGGGTTACAGCCAGGGGGGTGACAGTAAACCGGAAAATTGGAAACAGTTGTGGCGCGGTTCTACCCAGGCAGAAAGCATGGCCTTCTAGACTGTCCTAGACAAAAATCTGAATATTTCTATATGATTTCTGTCAATTTCTGCGACGGAACATTTTTATGCACGTCGGCGTCCTGTTCTTTTGTCTTTTGTCTGTGTAGTCAGCGTCAGCTCCCGAGGCCTCTGCAAGGTCGGGCGCCATTTTAATTTTTGCCGTTTAGATTTGACTGGAAGTTTGTTTCTGATATTTCGGCTGAAATTTATAAGTAAAAAGATGTTTTTTGATATAAAGTTCCTTGTTAACACTTTAATAAAGTATATATGATTAATTACATGAAGAAAATGATGAAATCGACGTTTCTGCGTGTAGTAGGTATGGGCCATATTATATGTAAAAATAGGTAATATATTAACTGTTTTTATATTTTTTTAGCTTTAAACCCAAGGATCTTGGGATATTCTTTGCCAAGGATTTTTCCGTATCTCTACTTTAAAGACTGATCGGTGATTTTGAGCAACTGAAAGCAAGTTATACAAGGTAAATTATGATTATTGAAGTATTATTAGCCTACATTAATTTTCTACAAGATGAACAGATATGCGTAATTACATATTACATAGGTACCTATTATGTATTTTCATAGCAATAATGCTATAAATCTATGTATGTAGATTATTTTTAAAATACAAATGAGGTATTAGATGTATATGTATTATATTTTTTATTCATTTTATTTACATTCAAGTCCTGTTTGATTTAATTCACAAAAGTCTTATGTACCTATATTTATATTTTTTACATATTTTTTTTGATTCCAGGTTTTGTGTGGGTTCCGGTTGCCTTTTTCCTGCTTCCAGTTATTTAGTTTTATGTCCGTGAAGCTGTGAAAACATTTATTTATCTTCAAGTTTCTGTAAGTCAATGCACTGTTACTTTACTAATTCGCTTTAACACAGCATCTCTGATATTATTTAAATATTTGATATTGATACAGTAGTTTATTGGATTATAGCTCTTTAATTGTGTTGATTTGCATATTTACATTGTTCTAAATTCCAAATAAATATTTTTGAGTAATTTTGTTGTATTATTTACTACTAGAAAGAGTAAAAAGTATATTAACCCTCATTTAAACCTCCTGAACAGCCCGCCATTAAAAACCGGAAACGGAAATAAATTTCATAAAATTGAAATTGTCATGTCTATGTCATGTCAAATGTCCCAGCCGCCATATCTGAAAATTAGTTACCCAGGCAGCCACGCTGTTTCCATAATTTAACATTGACTTGACACTTCTTCTTGTATTTATTATTTTATGGTTACAGCAAAGTCGGCCTGACGATGGAGAAAAATCTCCGAAACCGTCGACGACCGGTTTCGGAGATTTGCTGTTCCCTTCGGTCTGATGAACTTAATGCAGAGAATAAGCATATATGTAGGGTTTTTTGGCCCCTTTTTCCGCTACTCGTATTTTTGTTTATTTAAAGTCATAATTATTCAAGAAAATGATGCAAGGGTCGAGATAACTTAGAACTTCTAAAACAATTACCACACTAGAAAAAGGATTTCCTTAATTTGTACAAAAAATCTTTGTTTTATTATTCAATAAAAGTTTTAGGTAGAAGCAATTTTCACAATTTAAAGCAATTCTTTAAGATTTTATTCAATTAGTTTCAATCCTTTAGAAACCAAAACTATAAACTGAATACATTTATTACTATTTTAAGCAAGAAATCACTTATTTTTTAGTATACTTTAAATATGGCTCAAAAACGAGGAGAACATACAAAAGAACCTGTTTCCCCTTTCTAAATTAAACGTTCTGCCGAGAAAAGTATTCTCTCTTTTACCGTTCTCTCCAGTTCTACCTTTTGCCTGTCACACATAAATAATAAAGCTTCTTGCAAACAAAATAATAGAAAAGTTTTCTTGCAAAACAGCCCATTTAAATCCCCAAACGGGAAAAATGTCATGTTGTCCGTCAAAGCTCCTAAAGTGGAAAATAAGTTTTTGCATGCCGTACGAAAGAATAAAGAGCCGTTTTTCCTCTCGAATATATATTTTCGAGGGGGATTATATTCGAACGCTTCGGATCGTTTATTAAAGATAAAACATCACGAAAAGACTTACTTTGAGACGGGCCCTTTTTCAAAAATTCTCTTTGCGATAGATGTCTTTGAGAATATGTGTAAGATATTTCTGAATTTTTTGGCTCGCTGTTTTCCTGTCCTATTTTATGCGTTGTTTGTAGATTGTAAATTCTATTAAAAGAGAAAAGTTAATCACCGCGATTTTGTAGATCTAGTGTGTCCCCCTTTCTTGAGTTATAACTCAAACAATAGGGACATCATACAGTCTCACAGCTTTGATAAGAACCAGTGTCTGAGTTGGTTTTACAGAAGTTAGTTCTCCATTTTCGATATCAGTCCCATATCAATCGTACCAATTTTATGGCACGAATGGTTGTCGTCTCGGCGCACTCAGTGATGAGGTGTTTTGGTGTTTCCCCATTTTCCCCACAGAATCTGCATTCGCCGTTATTTCTTAGCGTCAATCTATTGAGGTGTTCATTGAGGAGACAGTGTCCTGTTAAAAACCCGTTATATTCCGATGTTATTACTTAATACGATATTTCGATGTTCTTACTTAAATCAAGGAAAATATTTGATTTTTCTCGGTCGTAAGTTCTGAGAAGTTTCTTCGAGTGTCTTAAACCGTTGGAGGATTCCCATTCCAGATTACGGATGGTGTTTTCCAGGTTCTTGAGGTCTGCTTTAAGTTGGTTTCCACTTGAGAAGCAAAACGGTTCTTGTCCTGTTAGTGGAGTGTTCGCTCCTTTTCTAGCTAGATCGTTTCTTTTTTCATTACCTTCTAACACTTTCTGATCTGGCACCCAGAGCAGTAGGACTTTATTTTCTTTGCTTAATTTGTTCAGCTTCTCTAGGCAGCCTTTAACCAACTTCGAATTGATGGTTCCTGAGTTGATCGCTTTTAATACTGCTTGACTATCGAATAAGATGGTTAATTCTTGTTTCATATAGTTCCTATCTAAGGTAAGTTGTATGCATCTTTCGATAGCGTAGATTTCTGCCATAAGAATGCTGGGGTAAGTGTCCGTTGGTTCGGAATATTTAGTTTTTGGCCCAAATACTCCTATCCCTGTTCCTGCTTTAATTTTGGAAGTATCATTATACCAAGTTATGGTATGATTTTTTACCCTCTGAGCAAACTCTTCCAATCCATTTTCAATCCAGCTCAATACTACTGTGATGTGTTTCCCGATATGGCATCCACTGGGAGTTGGAGGAGTGGAATTTTCCTTTTGAAGGTATTCTGAGCTGAGTTCACAATTCTCCCAGTACTGCTTCCATCAATGATCATTCTAATAATTGTTGCATTGGCATATCTACCGATGACAATGTGCAGTGGTGTTAGGTCAAAAAATGGCCTCCATTGCTGCTGTTGGGCATGTTCACATGGCTCCTGAGATGCATTTTGCACAGGATTTCTCTGGCTGTACGTTTCTCTAGTTCTGTGTACCAAGAAACTGCCCCATAAGTAATAATGGGTCTCACTAGCATGCTTTTGGATACTTCTAAGATGCATTATAAGGAACCTGTAAGTAGCACAACGCTTAGTGGATCAAAATATGCTGGGAATAGGCAAGAAAGACCGTAAAAGAATACGTGGATACGACAATAGAACCAGGTAATAGATGTCATCCACAGAATCAAATCCCTCAACAGGTAATGGGCAGAACATCTGGCAAAAAGGACGGACAACAGATAAATCACAAAAATTACAGCATAGTACAGACAAGGAATTAAGAGACCTAGAAGATGAGCACACCTGAGATGGTACCCTTATTAGAAAATTAGCAGGGATAATTTGGGCCCGCATAGCTAATAATAGGCAACAAATATGTGACGGAGGCTACACCACAATAGGAAATGGTTGAATAAGCTGAAAATTATGATAATGACTAGTTCAAAAATATTAATCACGTTAAAATGAAATTATCAGCCCGACCTTCTTGTACAACAGAGCTAACAGATATCGTCATATATCGTCGAGGGTCTTCAAATGTACTAGAAACCAATTAATTCAAACATTTGTATGCAAATTCTGGTGAGATTACAACTCTCATCCCTTGCGGAAATATGAAGTGTGCTTTATAGGACCCTTAAACTTAAATTAAGCTAAAAGGCACAGGAATACATGTAAGCGTTTACCTAATCTAATAAATTAATTCTAGTTTATACATTTAGATTAATTACTTTTAGATGAAAGGTAGAAACAAGAAAAAAGGTATCATTTAAGTTAATTAAATTAGTTATCTGATGAAAATGTATTTTGAATGAACTGTTACAACTAACTAATTAACTAAGTTATAACCAACTAACTAAGTTACAAAATAATAAAGTAAATCATTTCAGTAATATTTCGATTTAGTTTTGAATATTTTGCTGTTTTTCAAATCCTAACTTTCTCAAAGAAGCATGAAACTGTGTCAATAGATAGTAAAATGGATGCAGTTTATTACATAAACTTCACTGTACTCAAAATCCGCAAGTAATCAGTAGTTCTGGCAAACTATCTCCGGTAGCCACTCACTCTGTCGACTAAAAGCAGAACTACGGTACAGTATTCTTTATCCACTGCTCTGTAAATGACTATCAGCGCGCAGCGGCGCAGAGCTAAACTAAATCTCTGAATTCTCGGACAGGCTGACGGTAACGCCGGGTACATCTGGGACAGGTTGTGTGCCACGAAATCGCCCATAAGGTTGCGCATCTTCCAATTTCTTCAATCAACGATATTGTTGTTGATTGAAGGTATAAGCAAAAAAACTAAACCTTTATTTGAATCAACGATTTTTGACTTGATTTCAAAAAATTCTTTTAATCCACGATATTATCAAATCCAACTTTATATGTATCTTAGCATGACTATACCAGTTTTTTAACAAAATATATAATGTATCCTATTATATATTTTGTACACAAAGGGGTTCGTTTCCATTTTAATAGGTAGGTACGTAAAGTTTCGAATGAATAATGACTTTTACTTTCTCGCATGACCTGAATGACTATAAATATATATGTTATACCGGTTTAGAATATTTTCCCTGCTTGTACAAGCGGGAACGTACCTACTATACTTTTATGACATATGCCATTTAAACAAGTTAATGATTGTGTCCGAAAATTCTGTTTTACTTTTTTGAGCATAATGCGGATAAACGAACTAAAAACGTGTATGTTTTAATAGAAATAACAGAAAATATGAACTTCTAATATATACCATAACTAACATTTCTAAGAAACTTGCAATATCTGTGTCAACATAATTAATTTTTCATCGCTATATTTTTTTACATATATTTATACCATATAATCGGAAAAAACGGTATCAGAAACTACTGGGGAATGACAATCGATGACAATTTTGGCGAGAGAAACTGACATAAAACTTATCAAGAATTAACACTATAATAAACTAGTAGCTTTACTCCTTGTCAAATCCTTTGTTCTTTTTCTGCCACTTTATATGAACTTGTTCTCGCTTCCCGTGACCACTGACGTAGCTGTGTAGTCGTGGCACTCATATTTATGAAACTCATATTTAGGAAACTCATATTTAGGAAAATATGAGTTAATAATAAAATAAAACAAAAAAAATCATAAGAGAAATAAGAAAATCATAATCATAAATCATCAAGTAAAAATTTGCTTGAAAACAGAATATTTTCACATTTCGTGTAAGTAACAATAATTCTTCTGTATCTGAAAATCTTCTGATGGGAAGAAATGCGGAAAAATATATAATGACATAATATTTTTATATTATTATCTATTCCAAAGATTTTCTACAACTTTTTTTTAATTTAGAACAAGTTTAATTTTAACATTAATGTGTTTGTTTTGTAGTAATATATTGGTTAGGTGATTTTCATTGGATAACTAATACATTGAACAACACATTGTACTAAATAATAACATAACATATTTAAACTTCAATAATTGCTAATAAACATTACACAAATTTCAAAAGAGAAAAGAAGCAAGAACAATGAGAAATATCATCACTACTTTCACACGTAATAAAAGAATATTTTTTTAGTTATTGTTACCGAGTCCCGAAGGTACCGAAAGAACCGGGAATTAATAATTTCTAGTCCCGGTTCTTTGATATCTCAAAAGAACCGGGAATTAATAATTTCGAGTCCCGGTTCTTTGATATCTCAAAAGAACCGGGAATTTCCGGTTCTGAACCCTAGTCACTATATTATCAAGAAATTATGTTTTTTAACTAAAAACCAAAAAAAAAATTCCAGATTTTTTTTCAAAAAAAAACTGCCCAGAAATATCCTCATATTTCTAGGGCCAAAATATACTACCATTAAAAATATTTGCACTTGTTTAAGACTCACCCTCTATAGGGCGATTTACGGTTATGGCACGTTATAGCGTTTCGGGAACCGGAGCTATTTTTCGGAACAGGTCATTTCGGTACCATATGCCTCTAACGAACCGGGATTTCCAGTTTTTTTTCGGTACTTTCGGTACTAGCAAATTTTTGTTCAATGATGGTGCAGTTCGTTAAAGAGCAAGCAAGGGATGGTTGTCAAAAGTAAAATCGATAAAAAATTGAGGCTGTAAAATAACAGATCGTAAACTAGCAATTCAACTCAAGTTACGGTAATCCTCTATATCATCTTCTATACAGGGTGAGCATTAAATAAGTGCAAATCGTTTCAGGGCTGGTAGATCTCGAAAAGAAAAATATATATTTTTTTCTACTTTAAATATTAAAAAAAGTGACAATATGAGCAAGTTTTGACTAATTTAGATACTATCAGATCGTAAACTAGCAATTCAACTCAAGTTACGGTAATCCTCTAGATCATTTTCTATACAGGGTGAGTATTAAATAAGTGCAAATTGTTTCAGGGCTGGTAGATCTGGAAAAGAGAAATATATTTTCATTTTTTTTACTTAAACATTTCTTTCCACTTTTTTGGAAAACTTTCTGTATCTAAATTTAATCTATGTTGCTATATTATCAAGTAAGAGGTTTATTTAACAGAAAATTAAAAAAAAATCCAGTAAAATTTTGAAAATACTAAATTTTATTTTTTTTATGAAAAAAAAATCATAAAGGTGTTTCTAGTAAGTATACCACCCCTAAAAATATTTGCACTTATTTAAAACTCACCCTATATTTACAATTTTTGATAATCTTCAGAAAAATGTAGATGACATTTTAAATAATTTATTGATTCGTCAACATATTCTGCATATAAAAATAAGTAAAGAAGTTCTCCCCCATAAATTTATGTCCTAAAATTCTTCAATCCGGGGATACAGGATGTAGAAGTTTCATTTCTATTTCAATTTTTTCTATATTAAATAATCTAAATTTTAAATAATCTATTATTTAATATTAATCTACTATCTATGTTGCTATATTATCAAATCAGAGGTTTATTTAACGGAAAATTAAAAAAAAATTCCAGTAAAATTTTGAAAATACTAAATTTTATTTTTTTTATGAAAAAAAAATTATAAAGGTGTTTCTAGTAAGTATACCACCCCTAAAAATATTTAAAACTCACCCTATATTTACAATTTTTGATATTGAAATTGAAATTGAAAAAAATTTTTGATATTCTTCAGAAAAACGTAGATGATATTTTAAATATTTTATTGATTCGGCAACATATTCTGCATAAAAAAATATGTAAAAAAGTTCCCCCCTATAAGATTATGTCCTAAAATTCTTCAATCCGGGGATACAGGGTGTAGAAGTTTCATTTATATTTCAATTTTTTCGAAATAATCTCTCAACTAATCTCGATATTTGGATAAGAACTGGTGTCAGGGTTTTTTTAACTTGATAAATTTGACTTCAATATCAATACGGTGCGTAGGAGGCGCCACCTACATATTTTTTAACAGTAATAACTTTTCATCCGTACTTGTATAAAACTACTGAACGAAAAAATAAAAATTTCAGCTATTTTTACGTAAGTTTTTCATTGCCTTTCTTGAGATTCTACTTAGCTAAATAAACATTTATTTATTTAAACAAATAAAACAACTTTACGCGCTGGGACCATATATTTTTAAAAAAAATCCTCTATGGGTTTTTTGCCACTGCAAGAAAATCTACAAAATAAAATAGTTATTTTAAGTAAACACTTCTGCGTTAATCCCAAACGGAAACTACTTGTCAGAAGTTAGGTTTAAAGATATACAAATTTGCCTAACGAAAAAAAAAGCTTAACGTTTCGGAAAGTTTATCTCTTTGCGTCGACGGAAGCAAAAAAATACAAAGAATAAAGAAAAAAACTATCTAAAATTTTTAAATTCAACTATTTGAGAACACTTTAGTTTTTTAAAACAGATACCTCTACAAAAACCGTTGACTTTCTGTTAAAATGACATTATATCCAAAAGTTAAACTTCAAAATTAACAATTACTACCTGATAACAATTACTTAATAAGGTAAAACCAAAAAGCCCAAACTTTCTGTATGATTATTTTTAATTTTTACGTATGTTATGTTTATTTATGTTATGTTCTTTAAAATAAAAAAAAGGCGATTGCCATACATTACTAACATCTACAGATGCATGAGCAATACATTTATTTTTATTAGATTGTATTAAAAAAACCTCTTTTATTTTCTTTTAGAGGCTATCGCTTCTTTCATTATAATTTATTCTGCGCCCTGTGTTCCATGAATGCTGACATATCTTAAATTTGTAAAAATCTCCCTTTCTTAAATAATCTTTAAGTTCTTTAATTCGAACATTTAAGGGTCTAGATGTTTCACAAATGTAAAATTTATCGCATTCACATGCTATTTGGTATATTACATTTTTTGTTTGTTGTTCTGTATTATTTTTTTTTGTCAGCATTCATGGGCACAGGGCACAGAATAAATTTTAATAACGCCAAAATTATAATGAAAGAAGCGATAGTATATATATATATAGAAGATAAAAATACTAATACTAAGTAAATAAGCTGACGATGAAAACTAATCATAAAAAATTATTATTTTTTAGATTTTACCAGCGTTAACAGTTTTCAAGAGGAGCTGAAATTTACGTCACCGTCATTTTACAATTTGACACCCCCACCGCCGCCAACGTCCAGACCGCCAACCTACGATGTGCAAAATTACCAGGCCCCAAATGGCACCCCTAACGGGGTCCTGCCCTCTGAAAATTACTATGCCGCCACCGACATTATCAAG